CAGAACACTTTGAGGAACAGTTTAACTGGCCTCCAGCCACCATTGCGCTGCCCGCTATCCAGTCGGACCCTGAATGGGACATAGAGACAGGTCCCCCAACACTAGAAGAAGTTGAGAAAGCGGTAGGTAGCCTGAAACGGGGAAGGGCAGCAGGACCAGACGGACTACCTGCTGAGGTATACAAGAATGGTGGTAGAGTTCTCTTAGTCAGGCTAACGGAAGTGTTAGCCAGTATATGGGAATCAAATACGATCCCCTCCGACTGGTCTAAGTCACTGATCATCCCAGTCTTCAAGAAAGGCGAGAAGTCCTCTTGTGATAACCACAGAGGAATCAGCCTGACAAACATAGTGTCTAAGATCCTAAGTTCTATAATTCTCCGACGCCTGAGTGGAGCTCGGGAACAGCAAGCCCGAGAAAACCAGGCAGGCTTTAGACCTGGCCGTGGATGTATCGACCAAATATTCACACTGCGCCAGGTCCTGGAACATAGGCATGCTTACAGACGCCCGACAATAGCTGTATTTCTCGACCTGAAGGCGGCATTTGACTCCGTTGATCGAGAAGTCTTATGGCAGTGTCTGTCACTGAAAGGCGTGCCTAGTAAGTACATCACCTTATTGAAAGCTCTCTACTCGAACACTTGTGGGCATGTTAGAGCCTATGGTGAGTTGTCCAGGGAGCTATACTCATCAAGTGGTGTCCGTCAAGGATGCCCACTATCCCCATTCTTATTTAATTTTATCATAGATATTCTTATGGAGGTTTCCCTCTCGTCACCTAATTACAAAGACGTTGACCGGATCACAGGTGAATTTTCCTTAGATCTAGAATATGCAGATGACATAGTCCTGTTAGGTGAAGACGCTGACAAGATGCAGAGTCTTCTGAACACTTTGAGTGGGAATTTGAGAATGTTTGGGATGCGATTTTCACCACCCAAATGCAAATTTTTGCTCCAGGACTGGTCTTCAGCGGTACCGCGGTTAACAATAGAGAGTGAAGTGGTTGAGTGTGTTGACCACTTCACTTACCTGGGAAGTAGGATCAACCCGGTGGGTTAGTTGCCGATGAGATTTCTGCACGGATACAAAAGGCTCGATTGGCTTTTGCCAATTTGCGCCACCTATGGCGCCGCCGTGATATTCGTTTGTCTATTAAGGGTCGCGTGTACTGCACAGCAGTCCGCTCTGTTCTACTGTATGGCTGTGAAACATGGCCATTGAAAGTGGAAGACAAAAAGGTTTCAGGTATTTGACCACCGTTGCCTTCGTAGTATAGGACGTATTCCGTGGTGTCACCATGTGAGTAATGCAGAAGTTAGGTGTAGAGTTTTAGGGAGAAGAGGTAAGTCAGTCGACGAGGTTGTGAACCTTCATCGACTGAGATGGTTGGGACACGTACTACGTATGCCTAGTCACCGATTGCCTCGTCACACAATGTTGGCTGAGGTGGGTTCAGGCTGGAAAAAGGCCCGAGGTGGCCAGACTAAAACATGGCACCAATGTATGAAGTCTCTGACTGTTGGTTTAAGCCATGTAGGACGATGCAGACTAGGTGGTTGGGGTCCACGGGACAAGAGGAACCAGTGGTTGGAGACCCTAGGTGATATGGCTCAGAACCGAAGTCAGTGGCGCAGATGTATACACACATTATCCTCATCTTAACAACGCTATACCGAATCTCACTATTTTGTCACTCCTCTTTCCTTTCTTCTCGTACTTTATATTTCTTTTGACTGCATTCACTTATCTTCATCCTTCACCTCACTACCTTTTTACTTGATGTGCTGATATGAGGTGTGGCAACTCGGACCGTTACGCAGTAATGCCTGGTCCTATGTTGTTGTTGATGATGATCCATGCCGAGATTTCACCGGCCACTGAGCCATCAGGGCTGATCCTACTTCTTTAGATAAGTGAAGTGGTCAACACACTCGACCACTTTACTGCCTATTGTCAGCCGCGGCACCGCTGAAAACCAATCCTGGAGCAAAAATTTGCATTTGGGTGGTGGAAACCGCACCCCAAACATTCTTAAATTGACACTCAAAGTGTTCAGAAGACTATGCATCTTGTCAGCGTCTTCACCTAACAAGACTATGTCATCTGCATAATCTAGGTCTAACGAAAATTCTCCACCGATTAGGTCAACTTCTGTGTAATTAAGTGATGAGAGGGAGACCTCCATAAGAATACCTATGATAAGATTGAATACGAATGGAGAGAGTGGGCATCCTTGACGGACACCACTTGATGGGTACAGCTCACCATAGGCTCTAACACGCCCACAAGTGTTCGAACAGAGAGCCTTCAATAAAGAGATGTACTTACTCGGCACGCTTTTTAGTGAGAGACTTTGCCATAAGACTTCTCGACCAACAGAGTCGAATGACGCCTTTAGGTCGAGACATACAGCCAGTGTCGGGCGTCTGTAAGCGTGTCTGTGTTCCAAAACCTGGCGCAGTATGATTCCGCTGTGGCCATCACAAGAGGACTTCTCGCCTTTCTTGAAGACTGTGATTTAAACTGGTCAGAGTGGATCGTATTTGATTCCCATATACTAGTTAATACTTCCGTTAACCTGGCTAAGAGCACTCTACCAACATCCTTGTATACCCAGCAGGTAGTCCATCTGGTCCTGCTGCCCTTCCTCATTCCAGGTTACCTGCTGCTTTCTCGACTTCTTCTAGTGTTGGGGGACCAATCTCTATGTCTCATTCAGGATCCGACTGGATAGCGGGCAACGCAATGGTGAATGGAGGCCAGTTAAATTGCTCCTCAAAGTGTTCTGCCCATCGTTCCAGTCGCCTTCCCTGCGAGTGAATCGCCGATCCGTCCTTTTCCCCTATAGCCTCACTAACTGTTATTGATCTTTTCCGCACAGTCTTCTTAATAAGTTTAAAAAACTGTCTACTGTTACCGATCGCCGCTGCCTTCCCCATCTCTTTAGCTTTCGCTGCCCACCACTGTTCGCGATCGTTGCGTAGACTTTTCATCAGTCTACTTTTAAGTTAAGCTTGCTCTTCATTGTGCTCAGGGCCTGTAAGCGGGGATGCGTTCGCCTGCATCCATTAGTTTGGAAGAAGCTGCTGATATCCACTGGCTCTTTTTAGCCATTATCTTGGAGTCGGCTACAGTCTTCAGTGCTGCTTTTACAGTAGACTGAAGATGACACCAAGCTTCTTCTGGATAGGTGACAGTCTTTTGTTGCGATAACTGTCTAACAAACTCCTCACTGAACACGGCTTTGGTGTTTCCGTTTTCTAGCAGCACTCGTAGTGGTTTTGTGGCCAAATTTTTTCTACGCCCATTGAGACGCAGGCATATACGTTCTCGGACCAACGCATGATCGCTGTCCAAGTACGTACACCAGAAGGAGCGGCAGTCTTCCACCGATCCTCTCCAGCGATGACTAATAGCAATGTGGTCTATCTGTGTCCATCGCTGAGTCGAGCTCGGTGGATGACACGTCAGACGGTGTCTTTCTTGATGTCTGAAATTGGTGCTGGCTAAAAATAGGCGATTATCTGAGCACAGTTGTAGTAGGCGATCACCATCATCTGTACGTTCAGTCGGGACTCCGAAAGTGCCACCTAAGTGCCTTTCTGCCTCATTCAGTCTGCTCACCTGTGTGTTGAAATCACCTGCAACAACCACCACGTACGAACGTTTGGCTTTCGAGAGGAGGTTAGACAGTTTATGGTACAACTCGTCTTTCACTTCATCCGAGCTGCAGTCAGTGGGTGCGTAAGCAGAGATTACAAAGAGACAACGGCGAGTCTCCCTATTCCTTTTAGTTCTCACCTTGCCGTTCAGTCGGGTAACGCAGAGGTGACTGTCAACTGGGACCCAGTCTAGTAGTGAGTTTTCTGCCCTGGTGCTTAATCCTATGCCTACACCTGCAAGACCCGATAGCTAGCTATCGAATCTCCAGAAACTCGAAGGGTAACGGTTACTGCTTTTTGTCTAACCACTATCTAACGAACTTTTGTGGTATGGTAGGACCTCGGGGGAACAAGTGTTTCACCAGCATAGCTCGTTGGGTCATTGTGATATGCAAGCCCGACCACCACGTCAAGGTAGCACAAACTCACTTACCTAGGCACAGGTGAGGACGTTAAAGCCACGATCGGAAAGACATGCCTTCATCAATATGAAATCAGTGTGAAGATCCGGATCCCGATTTTCAACATTAATTCAGTCAAGTAAGTCAGTGCTTCTGTGTAATGGCTGAGAAAATTGGCACGTTACAAAAAGCATTTGCAACAAACTACAGACATTCGTCAACAGCTGCCGCCTACGCTCACTCCATACTGAAGATGGAGATCAGATGGCCAGAATAATAAGAATAAGCAACAAGGGACTTACTCTGGCAACGAACCAACCAAGAACCTATCGCCCAACAAATATGCAGAAGAAAGTGAAGATGGACCGAATTGGACATGCACTGTGAAGACGGTTTGAGGATATCACGCGCCAGGCCAGGTCCTCAAGTGGAACCCGAATGGGAAACGAGTTTGGCGTCCCAGGTGAGGGTGCCATGGAGGGGATGGTGTGAGGAAGAAATGAGAGCTTCTCAGCAGTCGTGGACCAAGGTTAAAAAGACTGCAGAGAACAGAGTGAAATGGCGACGTGTTACCGAAGCCCCATGTTCCACTAGGAACCCAAAGGACAAATAATGATAATAATATCATAATAATCAAGGTATAAACTTTTCAAGTTAAACTTCTGTTTAATCGCCAACCGTGAGAACTTAACTATGAATAAGAGTGACTTTAAAGGCTACTCTAACAACGATTGAAATAACCGATTAGGTTATTTTATTTGAATCATAAAGCAGTTTTTCATAAAAATACAGAACTCTAATTGGTCAACTTCAGTAGTTGTTAGAATGGCCTTTAAAATTACTCCTGAATAACCCTAAATATATTTTTGAAAATGTACTCAGTCAGATGCAAGGATTCACAACAAACTATTTTCACTGTAGAAAGCATAATTATCAATCAGGATTTATTTAGCACAGGTAATGAGATATGCAGTTTTCTTGACAAAGGTTAGGTAATCGAAGAATAATTAAGAATTTATCTTTCCTAATATGAGCGGTTTGCAAAACACTAGTTATTTTTGAAAAAATAAGAAAAGTTTTTTCACAAAAGTTATGAAAGATTAATTGCCCGTATTTTCGGAGTGATTAAAAATAATGTTCTATGAAGTTGGCCGTAAAATCGCATGTAGTTCTTCGCGACAAACAGATCTGATCATTTCCATCAAATCATGCTCACTTATTTTTGACTGTGTCGTAATAGATTCTCCGTTAATTTGTGGAGATATATCATCAGTCATCTCATGCATGAGGGATAATATTTGTGTTAAGCAGACTTGACGTAATAAGCGTACAATATCACTTTTATCAAAACTTCTAACTGTAGGCTGTGAAGTAACATTTACTTTATTGTTGTTAACCAAATGAGAATTGTCAGAGCTATCCATTACTAATGGTGACTCAACTTGATTGTCAAGTACATTTTCGGGTGAGTGAGTGGTGTTTATGGAAATGGGCACTTCATTTGATGCCGGATTAGTATTTAAATGCATACGGACACCTGGTTGCCGTTCACATAACTTTTTATGCTTTTTGCCAGCTTCATGAATTTCTCTGGCTTCGATTGACGGTAGCTGAACTTGACAAACATCACAAAATAAATGTGGCTTATTGTTGGTAGTAGATGGATCAAAGTCACCATTAATGCGCTCTTTAGCAGCCAAATTTAGTTTCAATAAGTGTTCTGATGAAGAAGGATGTAACTGGAAGTCTTCCTTTGATGAAAACTTTGTTTCACATAGTCCACAAAAATAAAAATTATCCGTAGACGTATCTTCAGACTGATCACTATTTAATTGTTTACAAGGTGGAGATGAAATTGGATCATTTTTTATGACGTTTGCCGAGTTACCACAGTCTACATTCAGAATATGATTCCAAAATTCACCATCGGTATTGAAAACGGTACAGCATGAGAAGCATTTCCGAGCTTCTGCTGGATCTGTCATTTTTGTACAACACTAAAACTAGAGACGAATAAGAAATACAATGCGAATGATTAGGTATAAAATCAAGATTTCTATCTGGACGCAAACTATGAAATTTTTCAAATCAAATATCATTAAAGTTGAAATAATTTATAGCATCAATCTTTGCTTAATCTACACATCGTCCATGATGATTTTCAACAAAGCAAAGAAAACAAGATTTGAAAAAAAGAGATGAAATCATTTTACAACGCAATATATATAATATGGGACCGTCAGATGAACCCTGTTTTGCAAACGAATAAATAGATATAGGTGTAGAACTTGGGCACTGTGGTAGAATCCAATTCCATACTCGATTTGTTTATTTGACTTATAACACACTGATATAGTATTATTTACTTTATCTTACAATCTAACATAAGTTATTCTCCTTGTTCATTTTCTACCTCGAAATATGGTGGCGATATGTGAATGACACATAATTTCCTCACATATATAAACTAAGTGGTAGGCGCAATCCAATTCACTTTCAAGGTAGAAAATGAGCAAGGTTTATTACCTATGTTGAATTGTAAAATAAAACAAAGGACAGACGGTGGTTTGGATACTACCGTCTACAGAAAACCAACACATTCCAACAGGTATCTAAACTTCAAGTTATCTTATCCAACGTCAGTTAAGGCAGGTTTTGTCAAATGTCTAAATCATACAGCTAAAAAACTGACTAGTCAGTGCAAGGACCTAAACAAGGAATTGAAACACATAAAAGAAGCGCTAACAGTTAATAATCATCCTCCGCAGTTCACTAAGAAATTCGTACGAACAAGAGACGAAATAATAACAACAACACGAATATGAAACTTTATATAGGATCCTCAACAAAGCTAGAATAAGGGTGGCATTTAAACCTACAAAGATAAGCTTTGCCGGCTGGCTTAAGGAACCGATAGAACCAATTAAGTAAAATAATCTAATCTATCAAATTCGATCTAATGACTGTGAGGTCAAGTACATAGGTCAAACTAGCTGGTTGGGGGCGGTTAGAAAAGTGGGACATACGAATTCAGCTAAGTATAGAATGACAGACACGAATAAGATCAATAATCTGGAAAAACACTAGGCTATTGCAATGCATGCACTAACACACAACCACTGTACTTATGTATCCAATATAATGAAGTGGAGAGAGAGACTGATCAGTCTTTGTTCATCGAATCAACACGTAACACATGTAATAGGAATTACGCAACACGTACGCCAGAGATGTAGAAAAGTTTACCAACAATAAAAACAAAGAATGATGTGACATAACCATGAAAATCAAATGTCGAAAGTAGCGTGATTACACTCATATGATTATGAGAGATAATTTATGCTCGAAACACCAAGTAAGTAATACTATATTACTGCGTTATAAACCAAATAAACAAATGCAATCAGGAATAAATGGAGCCAATAATCAAATGGATAATGTGTGTTAGGCGTAACGGTTAAAAAAATCTCATCCGTTTAGCACTAGTTGAAAAATTATGATGCAATTTGACTGATAGTGGTTAACAGTGGAGTTCAGGACGTGCGTTTCATACTATTCGGGACTCACCAGCTGGGTTTACCTACATTGCAGTGAATGATGGTATTCCCCCTTAGAATTGGACCTACCATCTAACGCTTTAAACACCAAAACACTATCAATAAACTGTTGAAAAATCACTCCAAGTAAAAGGTATGAAGGGCGAATTTATATATATATATATATATATATATATATATATATATATATATATATATACATGGACCTTTGAACAATAACCTTCAAATTACAATCCTTGATGGTCACTCAGTTGTTATAAGGCATCCCACCAGACAACTTAACCCAGCTCTGTGAAAGATGATGAAACTGTAATCAGGCAACTGACTACATTGTTTGAGAAGATAAGGCAGACTGTTTCATCACTCTGTAACGAAAAGATTGATATACTCTTCTTTAAAAAGGGTCTACTTTGTGCATGTGATAGCCATCAAGGTATCAGTCTGCTATCAGTAGTGTCTTAAGTGTCTTGCTATTACTTTGCAGACTGCGAAAAACGTATGGGGAACTAGTCCCCAAGAAACAAGTCGGGTTTAGTTCAAATCGTGGTTGGATTAATCGCGTGTTCACTCTCCCCTAGGTGTTCGAACACCATCACCTATTACAGGCTGGTAATCTATGTATTCTTCGATATTAGGACTGCCTTCAATTTTTTGGACACGAGTCTAATCTGGAATCGTCGGTTAGCAAGGGTTAATTTGAAGAGGTTTGTTAACATCTTAAAAGCCCTAAACTTTAACATCTTAAGTCCTGTCTCTCCACTTTTCCAAACCAATAGTGGAGTAAGCCAGAGCTGCCCAATCTTACCATTCCTTTTTGACTTCACTATCGATGAAATTCTAGGGACAGCCTCGAAGAAAGTGCGAGGTAGTGACATAGACCTGTTAACTGGTGAAAGACTTTTCGATCTTGAGTATGTCAACGATATCACTGTGCAGGGCGACAACATACAGGCTACTGAAATTGTACTTACTCACTTGGCGACCAGTTTCCATGGGGTATGTCCTTTGTACCATTAAAAAACAAAGTGCTTCGAAGAGATTGGCAAGAGCGTGTACCTACACTCACCCTTCGTGGTTAACCGCTGGCATTTGTTGTTGTTTTCTGTAGAAATAGAAAGACGGCTGGACACTTACTGACTGACAAAATCAACGCAGTACCTCACACACAAGTGAATCGGTTCAAGTTGCCACAGTTCACAGTAGTACACAAAGAATAGGTGAATAGAATCAAAGTGATATAAAAATAGACAAATTTGAGAGAGAATAAACAACTGGAAGATAAAATTTAGTGAGAATATTCAAGCTTTAGATGTCAAGGAGTGAATATATCTGCTCCACTGTGATCCATTTTCAGCCATGTTACCAAGAGTCCTCGATTACTAACCTTATCTTGAGGACCTCAACCAGGTAGTTTACATCGGGTCACACCGCCCAGACCAACAGTCAGACTTTATGAACTAGTGCCACGTCTTAATCTGGTCACCCTGAATTCTTTCCCAACTTAATCCAGCTTCCCCTAGCATTGTACGTCGAGGTAGGCGATAACTCAGCATGCGCAACACATATCCAAGCCACCTCAGTCGATGAAGGTTCATAAGCTCATTAATTGACTTCCCTATCTTGGTTAGCACCCTTCACTTGACCTCGACTCCGCTCACAGTGATTCCACCAAATGCAAGCAATGCTAAGAAGACAGTTATGACAAGAACCCTGTAATCGCTTCATCCTCAATCATTACTCAACACCTATTGAAGAGTGAGAATGCTACGCTGCATTCCGCTTTGTCCTGTTAGGCAACTTTGAGATACGGTCGGCTAAAAACAGCAGATATGAAGAGGTTACAAGCTATTGATTACAGATGTCCTCGCAGCATTGCTCATATATGACAGTCACCATGTGAGTAATGTTGAGGTTGGGCGAAGCGTACTTAGCAAGGAAGGCAGGTCAGTGGATGAGGTTGTGAAACTTCACCGTCTGAGGTAGGTTGAACATGTTGCGCATACACAGCCACTACCTACTTCAGTGTGCAACGTTGGCTGATGTAGGATTGGGTTGAAGGAAAGCCCAGGGTGATCAAACCAAGAAGTAGCATCTCTGACTTTTGGTCTGAGTCGAGTAGTGAGGTGTAGACTACCTGGCCAGAGTTGCTGTAATAAAAAATAATGGTTGGACATCCTTGGTAATATGACTTGAAAACGGTCAAGATGGCACAGATGTACTGACTTTTCGTTGCTTTCTAAAGTTCAAATATTTTCAACAACCATCATTCCTGAATTCTTCCTCCTACTACACACTTTACCTTAATCAAACATTACCATTCTTCTCTCCACTAGTTCTTTGCGTGTCGCATTGAAGTGTGGCAACGTGAACCGAAGCACTCCTGTGTGAGATTCTAGCTTGATTTTATCTCTGGTGGTCTGAGAGTTGAGAACACATTGTCTCAAGGACGTTTAAGCTTACTTCCAAAGTATGATGCAGATATGTGAACGACACATTTATAATGATAAAACCAGAACATATCGATACATTTCTTACATGCATAAACTCAGTTGATGCAATCCAATTCGCACATGAACTAGAAAGTGATGAAGGAGAACTAGTTATGTTGGATCATAAAGCCAAAGGAGAGCAAGACGGAGGTTTAGATGACGATGTCTACAAATAGCCTTCAGCCTCTAATCGATACTTAGTCTTCAGGCTATCTCATCCTAATTCAGTTAAGGCAGGCATGGTCAAATGTCTTAGCAATAGAGCACACAGACTGACTGGTAAAGCAGAAAATCTGTTGAGAAGTGTAACATACAGGATGTATTATTAATCAGCCACTACCGCCGTAAGACTATCTAGAAGCACACAAGGAGCATTAAGAAAAATACCAACAATAACAGTGTTAACAATGAAGCCATAGGAAACAACTTTAAAAACCCCCGTAGTTTTACCATATACAGGAATACCAGAAGTCTCATGCATGATGATTCCCAATACGGTCAGGATTAGAGCGGCGTCCAAGCCTAAAAACTCGCCTAGAGACAAACTTAATCGGCTTAATGATTCTTTGGAACCCGATAAACAAAACAATTTGGTGTACCAAATTTCATGCAATGACTGTGAAGTCAAATACATGTATCAAACTAGTTGATCGAGGTCAATCAGGTTAACAGAACATAGTACAGAATGGTAGACCCTAACAAGACAAAAGATCTATAAAAGAGTTTAGCCGTAGCCATGTATGCTGCCACACAATGGATTGGACAGAATGACAATTAAGAAAATAACTTGGGTAGGTAGACGGAGGGAGATCGATACCTGAAGCTTTGATTCTCGAATCGATACCTAACATATGTAATAGGAATGAAGAAACACCGATTTCGGGCAAGCTTTGGTGCTAAATAGATCAAAGAATGACAAACAGTAGGACATTAGGAAAATAAATTAGAAAGTTACGTGATTGCCTTGATATGATTATGAGCAATAAGTTGTGATCAGAACAGCATCTATAAATGATATTGTTTCGCTATGATACATAAGAAAATAAATATAATGGAATTAATACAGTACTGCACCCGAATTCGACTCGTATAATAATGATGCTTTTACGGGTGCTAAACTGAAACGTGGTGAAGTCAAAGCTAGCGATGTGACTCTGCCATAACTGCATATTACATTAGAAAACAGCCATTTAACAAACTCTGAGGCAAAGCACTTTCGCTAGGGACTTTTAATTCTTCAGTAAATTTTTTCAACAACACTAGAGCTTGTTAACCAGGATAAGAACAAAGAAGTGTACACGCAATCTTACACATTGTAGATCGAATGCATTCGATACGTAATTGTCATGCACAAGGTGTACGGATACGTGGTTTCACCAGTATCCTTGCTCGAGCGCATTCAACGCGTTTGTTAATTCTCTCTATTTTATACGCACAGGTTGTGAATGACATCGCACCTGCGTTCTAGTGAAATATACTTTTTATGAAATTATAAGACGCGAGGTTTGCCTTTAACGTTATACTCCCTCCAGCTATAATTTTAATTTTGCGGATCCATTGCTAACTTATAGAGGTGGATGTGTCTTTCAAGTTGCATTTTCACAACGTTCGGAAAAGAATAGCTAGGCATCTCATTGTGCATGTGATTGACACTTACCACATCCTTTCAAATTGTCATTACCGCAACTTTCTTCCTTGAGCGGACTGGACAGTGAAACTGAAAATGTGGGTTGTGACGCAGGATCCCAGTTACTTTTACACTTCACTTTTACCTCTTCATAAGAAATTCGTAATGCGAATGAAGTAGGTGAAGGTTTCGATACTGCATACCTCAAATAGATTTCCCCTCGGAAAACGCGGCATGCATTTACGCATGCATGTGTATATAATGCGGCAATCGCACAACAAACACAGAAATTCCCGCCTAAAAGTAGTATCTTTGCATTTATACACATTATTTCCGTATTTTCGTAGCAGGATTATATTAGTGGGCTACAATATACAAGAAAAAGGAGTTTAAAAGCCTATGGATAGTAAAATAAAATGGAGAAGAGCTTACGATTATCAGCACACTGGCAGCAGAGGAACAACCAGTAATGAATGGATAAACGAGTGGGTTTAAAGCTTGTTGTAACCACCAGCTGTTGATAGGTTTTCGTATAGCCCGTAGGTAGGTACGTTGTTGCAGGGGCGCGTAAAGGACTGAGTTTAGTGGTGATCACGAGAATCTGAAGGGGTCAAGGAGAAGAGAAAAGCATGAGCCGACGACTCAGAAACTGCATAGAATGTACATACATTTAATAATAAAAGATACTTGACAAAAGGCGGAGCTTGACAACAAAGAGGTGAGGTAGTCTAAAAGTAGAGTCTGCCAAGTGGAGGAGTAAGGTTTCGAATGCATTACATTGCTCCCCTGGGGCAGAATCTCTTTCCCAGTGCTTCAGCGTACCTGCGTAAGTTGGAGGCTATAAATAATATGTGAAGCTGGTTCGAGTTACATTTTAACGGATGGCTACTTTTGATTGCGTCAGTCTGATTGTGAGCAAGCCGGATCACACCTTTGGCCCTAAAATGTAACGACCAGCTCTATTTTAGTCTTTTTATAAGAAATGTCACGGTGAAAAGTGACCATTTACTGGATAACGTTTCGGACGTAATTTATTGTCCATATCCGTATATGAATCTGAAAAGGGAAAAAGGAAGAGAAAAGCGTAAGTCTGTGAACCAGTAAGTATATAGAAGGTATTTACATTAATAACAAAAGATAACTAGAAAACGACAGGTCTCGACAACGAACACCGATCGCTCCTTCTAACATTCGACCTTGAGTTCAGATGGCTCCAATATCCGATATTTGATAGTGCGAACGTAGAAAATTGATAGTTTTTTTATCCCTCGCGTCTGTTTTTTAGGGCTCGGTTCACGTTTTTCGATTTGTCTCTGTAGAGGACCAGCAAATCCCTTCTGCTTTCCTGCTTTTAACTTCGGTGAGGTGGCTGTTTTGCGGGTCAGTAAGTTGCGATTTGTAGTGACTGGGGAGCTACAGGTTACTGGGAAAGTTAGGGAACTGTCGTGACTCCTGTCTGTGTAGGTACGTGAACGAGAATAGTAAGGTAGTGGTGAAGAATGGAAGAGAGAAGAAAAGGGGGAGAAGAGAGAAAAAGGGAAAAGAAAAGAACTAAAAGAAAAGTTGCCCGGGGTAAAAGTAGACAGCTCAGGCCTATTTTCTAGGGAAGAATTAGTAGATAACGTGGGCTTATTAAGAAGAGAGATAGTGAGTGGTAGGTAGAAGGGAAGTAAGGGTGGGCTGGTGAGGTTAGTGGCTCCCTGAGTACGTCCATGCAAAGTGACATAACTGTCTAACCATCTCTTGGACGAATCAACTGAGGAGGCTATGATGATATGTCACGGTGGGGCATTTCATAAAACAGATACTCTTAAGGAGAAATATCGGACCTGAGAATGGTATTGGCTTTCTGATCTGCCCAATGGGGTTTCCTCGTGATGACCACTGTGTTGCAGGCAAGGTTAAGCTGTTTGCGTGGTCTGCCTGATGGATGTCCCTGTAGGCCATAATAAGCTCAACCTTGTTCCTGCGATAATTCGAGATGAATAGGCTTGTGCGTTTTAGTCTTTCAGGACACACCTTCCCCCTTAGCCCCACAAATGATTTTGTTGCAGTTCTTTGTATCTTTTCAAGGAGTGTTTGCAGGGCCACCGTATTGGAGACTTATAGGTGCTGCCGTAAGTAGGATTTGAAAACGGCGAGGAAGAGTTCGGGGGTGACAGCGTCAAGCTGTCTACGCAGAAAGTCCGAAATGACGTTCTCTCTGGTTGTCATATCTTTGTGGTTGGAGCTGGTGTTCATGGTGTCGGAAGAGTTGAGCCCCAAATATGTCTCCACGGACACTCTGGTGATAACACGGTTGCTCAACATGTGCTAAAAGCTTCTAACATCCAACATAAACAGTGCGAGTCGAGAAAACTTGAGGTCTTTGAGCTCACACTTCCAGGTCCTGAGGCTTAGTTCTTTCTTCAGCTATGCTGCTTCTGCAGCCGCGAAAGGCATTATGGTTTATCTGCTTGTAGCTTTGAAGATAGTGATTGTCTATTTGAAGGTGTTTCTTTTGCGAATTGTAGCTTGGTTTGTTTGGGGCAGCAGTGGAGTTACCGATGAGATCAGTTAGCCTCTTTCAATCCGTGTTTTTGCGAGCACTCGCAAGTAAGTATTAAGCGTCACTTAAAGTGTCAGAAACAGGACGTGTGGGTAATGGGACAATGGGGTGAAAGTTCTTATGGAAAAAGGAGTGTTATAGGTGATAATACATAGATGGGATGGGTCTTATTGCAGACGCTACGGTTGAGGAATGCAGGGACGGATGGTCACACCTTCAGCTGCTGCTGGCGAACGTTCTTGGTGAGCCGTTTGCGCTCATGTCGTAACCCACCAGTCGTTAGAAGGGATCAAATGATATAGCTGTGACTACTTAGTCTGGTACAGCGTTCCACAGAGCACACACCGTGTGAGAAGAAGTTATATCTCACTATAGTCTCTTACTTATAGTAGGGTACGCGAGTGGGATTCTTGTCAGACTCGGTTTTGGCCGATGATGTTGAATGTTGGGGTGGTCCACCTGGTGATTTATACTGAAGGTTGTTATCAGGTAGCCCCTTTTCTCTCGATAGCCTTGTGTGAACGAGATGATTTTTCCAAGGCACTGTGCATATGTCCTGCCTTTCAGTGCGATATCCGTCCTCGTTGCTATTCTCTACACCTTCACAAGAGTCCCTGTGTCTTTCTTCAACAAAGGGAGGGCTGTCGCGTTGAATGCCGCTTGGTGTGGTCCAATGTAAGTTTTAACTACCATGGGAAATGGTCCTGGGATTAACACTCCAAGCTGGCTCCCTAAAAAACGTATGATAGTGTTCCTTCTTGCCGCGGTTTCCCAATGCTTGGCATCAGCATCGAGTGTGTCAGAGAAATTCAGTCCTGGGTCGTTCTCTGAGGATGCCTCGATGACTGCGCACTTATTGAGGGTATGGTTGGTTTTCGTCGCTCGTGGTGTGCGAAGGCGCACCACCTTGCTCTTCACTAGGTTTCGGCTCGAACCAGTGAAGATGACCAGGACCCCAGCTGCAGCTGATCATCCTGGACCATCCTAGGATCCTCTTTCCTACCTATTGCCTTCAATATTTTGATATCGCTGACAAACGAGGAGATAGACGAGAAGGTTTGAGTGGAGAGGTCATATGCAAATGGCGAAATTCGGGATGGTATAAGGAAACCGCTGTTCTTGTACCCCTCCAGGCTGATCAAATCCTACTAACCTTAGTACGTAGTTCCCTGTCCTCTGCAAAAGGTGCCATGAGTGGTTCGCCAATACCCACTATTGCAGATTTAGCGAGCGTGGTGTGGCGTGAAACTCTATCCAAATCCCTGACTGAGTCCAGGAGAAAGATATGGACTGCTTCTTTATGATCCCATCTGGTGGTCCATTCATCCCAAGTGGTCATCAAGTTAGTGTCATATGGCACTCTGGTTCTGAAGACATATTGGGTAGGATGAACAATACTTTTTTCGTTAACGTGGTCCCTAGCAGTATCTGCAATCAGCCATTCCAGTGCCTTGGGAAGTATGGGAAGTAACGCTGCTGGTCTGTAAATTTTCACGATTCTTCCATGAGGTCTCGTGAGAGAATGGCTTGATTCCACGTTTTAGCTGCTTGAAATTCCTCTGGAGACCACGGGAAAAGATTTAAAAAGATATCCTCGGCACCTCAGCCAAACTCCGCGGGACTCAAGCTCCAAGTCGAAACAGTCCGGTTTCCAACGGAAAAAAGACGTACAAGAGTAAAACACGGACATTGTGGTGGATTGTAATTCCACTTTGGTCTGTTTATTGAAATTATCACACAAAAAACAGTAGTATCTACTGGATAACGTTTCAGACGCAACTAATTGCCCACATCCATATCAGGTGACTCCACAACTTCGAGACAGACTTTAAATATTCCCCACTTTCTCTCCTATGTGATGACAAGGGTAGTAGAATTTTTCATATACCTGAGACAGGTGCAGAATCATTTCTTTTAGCGCATGTATTTGGTGTTGATTCGATAAACGAAGATTCAGTCGGTTATCAATCTCTCCCTCCACCCAAGTTAGTTCTCAACACTATCACCCTATCCCACCCTACTGTGTGATTGTGTGCAGAGCTGTAGCCAGCTGATCTTTTCTCTAAATTTCTTATCTTATTAGGATCTACTAATCTTGATTTAGATAAGTTTTTGTGCTCTGTTATTTTAATCGACCATGGTCGATTGCTTTGACCTCGCAACCATTGCAAGGGATCTGGTAAACCAGATTATTTTGCTCAATTGCATCGATAGGATCTTTTAACCTACAAAGCTTGTTTCTAAGTGAGTTTGTTGGTTTGAATGCCACTTTAATTCCAGCCAGTCTTATTGAGAATTCTTCGTAGTGCTTCTGAGGTGCCTTCCATGTATGATAACACAGAAGAGGCTTTGAATTCTCTATTAACCCTGTCACCATTATTGCCGTTAGTAGTGGGATTATTATTAATAACATCTGAATTACTACTACTACCACTGCTGATATTCTTCTTTCGATTTCTTACGAATTTATTTATAAATTTTGGTGGATAGTTATTGGGACGTAGAGCATTCTTGATGTGTCCAATTTATTGTCGCAGATTTTCAGATCTACCAGTAAGCCTTTTCTCTGCACCACTAAGCTTACCTTTATTGAATTGAGGTGTGTCTCTGAAATTTGGGTTACGTAATTTGAATATGGACAATTAATTTTGGGCGAAACTTTATGAAGTCATTCCTACTGTTTTTGTGTGTGATGTTTCTGATTAACGAACCAGTGTGGAAGTGAAGGTGCTTTTGCATAACACGTTTTTATGTAGAATCCACGGATCACCACTTCTTGTGGTTGTCAAGATATGTCGCATAAATCAGCATGTAGAAGCTGTGTTTAATAGCTGGAGATAGAATTATATTTGATATCATACCCAAATCTTATGTCAGTATCCAAAATTGAATATCTCTATGCGTGGCCGCATCGTCAAATTCCTTTTCTAATGCTCGTCTCTAGGTCTCCTCAAACAGTTCCAGGTAGTTGGTGGACTTCCTGGAAACTGATCCATCAAGTAGCAAGCTATAGTCCAACATTGACGGACTAGGGTTGCGGTGTTGGCAGAAACTGTTGTGATTATATGGTATGTCAAGTGAACAGGAGGATGGTGTGGTTTACTACCAGTGGGAGCTTTTGGAAAGCTGGGGAAAGAAAGTGAAAAAAGACAAGAGAATTGCTTCAAAACAGTTCCCATTCGCGTAAGCCACAGCGTGATTGAAATGAAATAGTTCTAACCTTTTCTCACAGAAGCCTGGTTCAAGCCCTTTTAGGGAAATGAACAAAATTAAGATGTCAGGGATATATGAATGAATCCTAGGACGTGTACCTCGATCTCCTTGCCGAATCCTCCTCATGGAATCATTTCCTTCCTTAAATGTGATTGCTGATCATCCAGCGCGAAATTTTACGTCTCCTGCTGTGTGGTTTGCATGTGAGTATGTGCCTCCGTGTGTGGGCGTGTTAATGGCCACGTTCTTCTCGGCTGTGAATACGAGACAAAAGGGTCGCGGGTGACATTGTGGTCACTTGGTGATTTTTATAAATACACTAGGGTATATGACACGGATATTTCGGTTAGCTTGATATATGGAGATGGATGGTGTCAAAGTTTTCACTAATTTTTAGGAGTAGAGTGGAAATGAGCGGTAGTTACGACGGAGGTGACAATGATA